GTGTAAAATATTTTCCACTGGTGTAATGTAATTCAATTGATTTTGTATTTCTTTTCCTAATTTGATGGGCTTGTTCAATATTGAAAAATGCCATCATCATTGAAAATGTGGAATGTAACAGTTGATGTTTTGGTTCCTTTGATAATAGGAAGTGCCGAAGTGGGTACTACCAATTGGTTAAGGGAACTGAAATGTTGAAAATGCCATCATCGTTGAAAATGTTGAATTCAAGTTCTTGTTTTGGTTTCTTTGGTACGTTGATGGGACACGGCGACAACTTCCAATTTCAACTCAAGACCTAATACAATGTTTTGGTGAGGGAACCGAGAATTTGTCAATATAGCTAAAGTGCTCAAGAGTTGACAGTTGACAGATATCAGCTCGACTTTGCCAGTAGTTCTTCAAAAAGGAAATGGGCTACAAAGATATGGTATAATAAACATATTCTTTCCATCAAAGTTCAAAATGTAACCACATATTGGTGCTTTTCGAGTGATATGTATCGTTTTGTGAATCCACCGAAACGTCAAATATTAGGGCTTACTGGTTACAAGGGAATGCCATTTTCAATTCCTAGAGATGGCCTGGTTCAAATCTCAAAACCTGAAACAATTTGTAACCATCAGTATTGTTTGAATTGATCGATATGCCGTGTATTTAATTATTTATGTATCCTGCGTGTTCATATTTTGAACCATGCTTTCTATTACTTGCAACTTATGAGTTATGACTTATGAAGCCTTGCCTTGCTGAAAATGGAACCTAAGGGGTTACTTGGTATGTGGTTCATTTGAAAATATTGTGCCTTAGTTCATTTCGATTCATGTCACAATGTAAAAAAAGCAATTGTTTAAGATGTAGTTCAGTTTGGATTAAATTGGGTCATCTTACAATTTATCCTCTACGTGGACCAATTTGCACCATAGTAGATGCAATTATTTTTCTAAGGTCTTGCAATAAATACCAATATATCTTATAAAAAAATATTTGTTTGACAAAAACATCGTTACTATCCACAGAACAAAATGTATTCAGAGGGTGTGGTATAATTGCTACGATGTGGATTCAAACACTCCACATTTCATTGAGCCACAGTACCAAACAAACCCTTTGAAGGCCCAAGTGTAGAAAACTTCTGACCTACTTCGCTTGGTGGGGCTGCAACAACTTCCGACCTACTTCGCTTCCTCCATCCACCTCAGGCGAAAGAGTCAAATATATACAACATGATTTTCTGTGCACATAAACGACAGAAATAAAAAAAAAAGAAAATGTTTTCAACCAAGGAATCTACAAGAATCTTGAATTCAACTACTCGAAACAATTCAATTAGCAAGAGAAGTTACAAAGAAACATTAAGAAATCATTCAATGAGGTTCTCCTGACGTGCTACTGCTACCTATGCTATACACATTCTGGGTAACGGGTAGTCCAAGTAAATTGGGTTTGGGGATTCCGAGGACATATTCAAATCGACAAAATTGGGAGACCGGATCTGCTCCTCACACATGGCTTCTCACACTGACCTCACAGGCACATCCTACCATGCCAAAATTGGGTCCCTCACATGTTAATTATAGATTAATGAATTCTTTCTCTCTTCTTCTTCTCTTTTTTTATTAGTTCGTGTTTGAATTTTCAAATGTGAACACCAGACCTTTATGGCTTTATCTCTGGGAAAGATACAAAACAGTGTTAAATGAGAACCGTCTCAGACAGAGACCAGGCAGTAAGTAAGTCGATGGTTTTTGAGTCAATGATGATAATAATATGGTCACTTGATCCTTTTATCTCTGTTCATACGACTACGGGGTCCATGTTTCCTAATATTTGTCTTTTACTAGACAAATTAATGGTGAGATTTGAAAATTTCCTTCTAAACCCTCCTTACCAGTTACCAGAAATAAATAAAATAAAGAACAAAACTCATAATTATTTCTCGATTTGCTCAACTTACAAATTAGAAAATGAGGAAGAAATGAAGTGATAGAAGAGACATTTTGTTTAAATGTTACAGCCATCCACATTTAGATCTGACTTCTGATCCTACCCTTAGCCAATTAAACGAGTATCTATTTTTTAGCCCAAAATTTATTCCAGGAAGAGGGGGTGACACCTTAAAATTTTATTAATCTATGTCAACAATAAGATTGAAATTTACAAACCCATTGAACAAAAGTCTCTCCCTGAATCTCTCTAACCTTTCACTTATCAAAAACATAAAATAAAGAGGAGTTAATTTACCCATTTTGCTCGATCCATGGCACTCTCATTTTGTCTTCTATGATGCACTTATAAATCTATGATGCACTTATAAATTCAGGGCAAATCCATGCTCACACCATCCTAACAGCCTCTTGTAACCTTAAATAAATAATATCTCTCAATGAAATAAAGCACATAAGTAGGGAAACATTCCCAATTCAAGGCTGTTGGGACGGGTGTTGCCTGAAGAACTCCAGCAAATGACCATCACTATCATCTCTAATGATGCCATGGTGATACCTCCCCCACCTACACTCCTGAAGAGTCACGTCCAAACTCCGAACACAAACTACATGTCCCACAAGGTGCTAATACATATCCATATAGGTCATATCAGGTGTAAATGTGAAATTTGGTATCTAACCATTTTCACGTATGTTAAAATAGGTAAATATTACTTGGTAGATGTTGGGTTTGCTCTAAAGTCTGGCTTCTTAACACCGTATCGGAGCACAAGATACCATTTGAGCGAATTTTTGGGGTGCACATCAACCTGAGAACCCTAAAGAGTTATTCAACCTCCGTCATGCTTCACTGCGAAATGCATTTGAGCGAATTTTTGGGGTTCTCAAGAAGTAGTTTTCACTATTGGTTTCTGATGTAACCGTTTTTGGTCACGTACCATTTTTTGTGATGTATAAATTTTTTGGCTAAGTACCTCGTTATTTGACCCGGTGGTGACGTGCCTTGGTGATGAGCTACTTGGTGGCGAACTCCCTGGGGG